TAATACCTATTCTTTTCAAACTATTCCAAACATGCAAAAAGAAGGGAAGTTTCCAAATTTATTCTATGAGGCCAGCATTTTCCTAAAGCCAAAACCAGACAAAGACACCACAAAAAAATAACTACAGGCTAATAACTCTGAGGAATATAGATGCCCCAAGAAAATATTACTAAAACAAATCCAATACATTTAAAAAATCATTCCCAATTACTAGAGGGAAGGTGAGATGGGGGATGGGTGAAATAGGTGAAGGAGATTAAGAGTACACTTATCATGATGAGCACTGAGTAATGTATAGAATCGAATCATTATATTGTACTCTGGAAATCAATATAACACTATATGTTGATTATACCGGAATTTTAAAAAAATGGTACTGTTTTCACTTGATCTAGAAAAGGACACTTAGGATGAATGTCAATGTTTACTTATCACTGGACAAAGGAGAGGAAGGAGAGGACTGGGTCTGCCAGAAAGGCTTCATTGCAGTCTAGGTGAATTCTGAGTCAACACTCTTGACTCTTTTCCATGTAATCTCTAGTTGGGCAGGATTTCTGATCCAAAGTAGAGAATAATTTACATACAGAACAAGAGTAGTCGGGCACTAATATTTTTCTCATTTTAAATAAATTCACTGACAAATATATAAGTAAGTTTTGAAGAATAAGAACAAGTTTATAGGATCTGAACATTACTGGGATAAAATCAATTTGTCTAATTCATACATTATCATCTAAGCAAAATTAAAAGATACAATTCCACAAATACTCAATTCACTTAATATATAAAATAGAGGTAATTTCACTAGAAATTACCATTGTTAACATTTTGGGCTCAAGTAGAAAATCACTTAATTGACTACTTAACTGAAGATCCATTGAAAAAGATTATTGGCACTTGCTATTCCTTCTATACAGTATAACATTCCCTGCCACGATGTGCTAGACAATGGGGGCTGGCAGACTTCTGACAACTTCTCTCTCTCCAACCGAGTTCTGTCTTATGTTATCACTAGTTTCGTTTGTACCCAATTCTTAATTATGTAACTGTGTAATTAAGTTATGTGAATTATGAGCAGAAAGAATGTTAATTTTATGAAAACTAGGTTGAACACTTTGAGACAACACGATTAACAGTGCTACACATAAATTGACTAATGGTACTAAGCAAGATAGCTATAAAAGATGACTATAATAAGGGCACCTGGGTGGCTCAGTCGGTTACACATCCGACTTTGGCTCAGGTCATGATCTCATGGTTCGTATGTTTGAGCCCTGCGTCGGGCTCTGTGCTGACAGCTAGCTCAGAGCCTGGAGTCTGCTTCAGATTCTGTGTTTCCTCTCTCTCTCTGCCCCTACCCTGATCACACTCTCTCTTGGTCTCTCAAAAATAAATAAATAAATCTTAAAAAAATAAAAAATAAAAATTTTAAAAGATGAATAAAATAAGAATCTTAGAAAAAGAGTAATTACAAATCATCATGATAAAACACATTAACAAGAGCAACAATAAAACCATATGATCATTTCATAGATGCAGAAAAAGCATCTGATAAAGTACAACTTACATTCACAATGAAAACCCTCATCAAAGCAGGTTTAGAGGGAACATTCCTCAACATAATAAAGGCCTTATGAGAAACACCCACAGCTGACATTATCCTCAATGGGGAAAAACCTGAGAGGTTTCCCTCTAAGGTCAGGAATAAGACAAGGATGTATGCTCTCACCACATTTATTTACCATAGTACTGGATGTCCTAGCCACAGCAATTAGACAACAAAAAGAAATAAAAGACAACCAAATTGATAAGGAAGAAGTAAAACTTTCAATCTTTGCAGATGACATAATACTATACTCCATGAAAAACCTACTAGAATAAATTAATTCAATTAAATCACAGGATACAAAGTTGATACACAAAAATCCATTGCATATTGTATGCTAATAATGAAATAGCAGAAAGAGAAATTATAAAACAATCCCACTTATGCTTTCACCAAAAGTAGTAAAATATCTACAAATAAATTTAACCAAGGAGATAAAAGACATACTCTAAAAATTATAGAATACTGAGGAAAGAAATTGAAGATGATACAAATGGAAAGATATTCCATGCTCATGGACTAGAAGAACAATCATTAAAATGTCCATACTACTCAAAGCCATCTACACATTTAATGCAATCCCTATCAAAATACCAACAGCTTTTTTCACAGAACTAGAACAAGCAATCCTAAAATCTATAAATCCTAAAATCTATATGGAATCACAAAAAACTCTGAATAGCCAAAGCAATTTTCAAAAAGAACAAAACTGGTGGTATCATAATTCTAGTTTCAAGACATACTGCAAAGCTGTAGTGATCAAAATGGTATGGTACTGGAACAACAATAGACACATCGATCAATGGAAGAGAATAGAGAGCCCAGAAATAAACTCATGATTGTATGGTCAATCAATCTTCAACAAAGCAGGAAAGAATATCGAATGGGAAAAAGACAGTCTCTTCAACAAATTGTGTTGGGAAACCTGGACAGCTACATGCAAAAAAATGAAACTGGACCATTTTCTTACATATTCACAAAAATAAATTCAAAATGGATTAAAGACGTAAATCGTAGACCAGAAACCATAAAAATCCTCTGAAAGAGCTCAGTAATTTCTCCGACATCAGTTATAGCAACATCTTTGTAGATATGTCTCCTCAGGCAAGGAAAACAAAAGCAAAAATGAACTACTGGGACTTCATCAAGATAAAAACCTTCAACACAGAAAAGAAACAATCAGCAAAACTAAAAGGCAACCTTCAGAATGGGAGAAGATATCTGCAAATAACATATCTGATAAAGGATTAGTACCCAAAATCTAGAAAGAACTTATGCAATTCAATTCGAAAAAAATATAATTAACTCAATTTAAAAATGGTCAGAAAACATGAACAGACATCTCTCCAAAGAAGACATTCAGATGACCAACAGACATATGAAAAGATGTTCAACATCATTCATCATCAGTGAAATATAAATCAAAACTACAATAAGTCACCTCACATTTGTCAGAATCACTAAAATCAAAAACACAAGAAACAAGTATGACAAAGATGTGGGGGAAAAGGAACCCTCGTGCACTACTGGTTGGAATGGAAACAGTGCAACCACTGTGGACAATAGTATGGAAGTTCCACAAAAATTTAAAAGATAATTACCATATAATCAGTAATTCCACTAATGGATATTTGCCCAAAGAATATGAAAACACCAATTCAAAAATATATATGCACCCCTATGTTTATTGCAGCATTATTTACAATATCCAAATTATGGAAACAGCCCAATGACTGTAGATATATAAATGGATAATGAATACACACACACACACACACACACACACACACAGACACTGGAAATATTAGCCACAAAAAAAAAGAATAAAATCTTGCCATTTGTAACAACATGGATGGATCTAGAGAATATAATGCTATATGAAATCAGACGGAGAAAGACAAATACTGTATGTTTTCACTTATATGTGTAACTTAAGAAACAAATGAACAAAGAAAAGAGATATAAATAAAAACATGGATTCTTAACTATAGAGAATAAACAGATGGTTATCAGAGGGGAGGTGTTGAGTGAAAAAGGTGAAGGGGATGAAGAATACAATTATCTTGATGAGAACTGAGAAATATGCAGAATTGCTGAATCACTATATTGTACACCTGAAACTAGTAACACTGTTAGCTATGTCAGAATTAAAATTTTTAAATAATAAAAAAAATATTTTTTAAATCAAGAAATAACAAGTGTTGGTAAAGATGAGGAGAATAGAGAACCATCATGCACTGCTGGTGAGAATGTAAATTGGTACAGTCTCTAGAGGGAACAGTATGGAGTTTCCTCAAAATATTAAAAATAGAACCACTATATGATCCAGTAATTCCACTTATGGGTATTTATCCAAAGAAAACACTAATTCAAAAATTTATATGCACCCTTATGTTCACCGTAGCATTATTTACAATAGCCAAGATATGGAGAAAAACCCAAAGTATAAACTGATAGATGAATGGATAAAGGTTTATACACACACACACACACACACACACAAATACTACTCACCATAAAAAAAAAAGGAAATCTTGCCATTTGAGACAACATTAATAGAACCTGAGGGTATTATGCTAAGTGAAGTAAGTCAGAGAAAGGCAAATACCATATAATTTCACTTAAATGTAGAATCTATAAAAGAAAACAAACAAAACAAAACCAATGTCATAGATAGAACAGATTATTGGTTGCCAAGGGGTGGGGATTTGGGGAGCAGTATATAAAATAAATTAGGATCAAGAGGTACAAACTTCCAATTACAAAATAAGTCATGGGGATATAACGTATAGCATGGTGACTATAGTCAATAATGCCAACTGCAAATTTGAAAGAGTAAGAAAGTAAATCTTAAAAGTTCCTATCACAAGAAAATACAATGTTTTAACTTTGGTGACAAATGGTAACTAGGCTTATTGTGGTGATATTTCCCAATGTATGAAAGTGTCCAATCATTATGTCATATACCTGAAACTAAGATAATGTTGTATGTGAAATATACTTCAATAACAAATAAAATGTGAAGCCCAAAACACAAGAGCACATACAGTTTGTATACAGCCTCACATTTATGTAAGGAAAAAAGCAAATGAGGCTTCCCAGTTCCTTGGATAATTACTTATCATTTAAAAAACAAAATCACTCATGAAAAAAATTATGCTACATTTGGTTAATTCTCAAAGACAGATCACTACTTCACAGAGTAAACTGTAAAACTTGTATTTCATATATTTCACATATTTTGGGTAAAACTAAAACAATTCCAAACATTTTTCTAACTTCAATAGTTTATACATGATAAATATAGACACATATGTATACACATGTATGTATTTAAATTGTGACTTTGTTAGAGATATTTAGGAAGTATTAATGCTACCATTGATAAACTTACGAATCAATATGCAGAACCCTCTGGCCATTTCTTGAACATGCAGCTGCAATGATGGATTCAGGCAAACCTATAAAAACACACACTTATATCATTTATAATGTAGAAATACATAAATATATATATGCTATATATTATACAAATAGTTCAATGCATGTCATCACTGTATAAAAGAGTTTAACAAATACCTCATCCTTATATTCAAAATTATAAAGTTTATACTATTATACCATTGGATATTTGTTAAATGTATAGTACTTATACTAAGAATTTCATCATGTGGAAGAGATTTTTTAAAAAATCAAGTACTATACTGGGGCGCCTGGGTGGCTTAGTCGGTTGAGCATACGACTTTCGCTTAGATCATGGTCTCACAGTTCGTGGGTTTGAGCCCCGCGTCGGGCTCTGTGCTGACTGCCAGCTCAGAGCCTGGAGCCTATTTCGGAGTCTGTATCTCCCTCTCTCTCTGACCCTCCCCTGCTCACGCTGTCGCTCTCTCTCTCCTAAAAATAAAAAAAAAAAAAAATTTTTTTTAAATCAAGTACTATACTTAAATTATTGTTATATGCAAATTTCCATAAATGAGCAATTGTCAAAATACTATTCATATAGCACTTTGTTATTAAGGAGCTATGTTCACATACTACCTCCTCTCATTTTCTCAACTACTGGGAGAGAAGCACCACTGCCATACACACGTTAGAAAGTAAATACTGAGGTGCAAATACATTAACTTCTTTCCCAATGCTTTAACTTTTTTTTTTTTCTATTGTCGAAATTTGAAACCAAATCTAACTCCAAAGCCACAGTGCCTATGCGGGGGAATGGCATACATTTTCCAGTTTAATCAATAGGTTAACTAGTTTAAAAGGAGGCCATTTATTTAGATATGAAACCATTAAACGCCTACGATAGAATACATGCAGTAATTTCTTTGACACTGGCATAGCAACATTTTTCTAGGTATGTCTCCTAAGTCAAGGGAAACAAAACCAAAACAAACTACTATAACTACATAAAAATAAAACACTCTTGCTCCGCAAAGGAAACTATCAACAAAACTAAGACAACCTACTGAATGGCAGATGTTTGCAAATGACATATCCAATAAAGGGTTAGTATCCAAAATATATAAAGAATTTATACAATTAAACACCTATATAAATAATCCACTTTAAAATGGACACGTGTAAAAATGTGTGGTGTAGAAGGAACTAGGAGAATGAAGTTTAAATAGTTAAGCACATTTAGTTCTTCAAACAGTTAAAAATGTATTTTTTTAATCTTAAAACCATCTGAACTTTTTACACCTAAAGAAGTAACTTTTTTTATTAATAAAATGCAGTCACTATCATGCTTTAAAAGTTGCTGCCAAGCATCTTAGTTAAAAATGACAACAGGAGGGGCGCCTGGTGGCTTAGTCGGTTAAGCGTCCGACTTTCGCTTGGGTCATGATCTCGCGATTCGTGGGTTCGAACCCCGCGTCGGGCTCTGTGCTGACAGCCAGCTCAGAGCCTGAAGCCTATTTCAGAGTCTGTGTCTCCCTCTCTCTCTGACTGTCCCCTGCTCATGCTGTTTCTCTCTCTCTCTCCTAGAAATAAAAAAATAAATAAAAAAAATTTAAAAAAATGACAACAGGAAATATTCAGGAAGCAAAATTAGTATGTTAAAGTGTGTAAAAAGATAGCATTAATAATATACCACGGAGCATTAGTATAGGGCTTTTTATAGTTCACAATATCTTTTTACATACATCACCTCACATATTCCTCATTATAGTCTTGGTAGGCAGGTGTTATTATCCATGTGACAAAATGGGATGAAAAAGATTAAGTAACTTGCCAAAGATCAAGTAATTCAGTAATTTGGTATCTCAAATTCCAATTACCATGGTTAATTCACTCTCTTCAACTTGGACATGAGTCTGAGAATGGGAAGGGAAGAACGGCAGCATAAAGAAATGGTCATGGTCTCAATCACAGACCTAGGCTTGAATCTTAACTTTGCTGCCTCACCAGCTGTGTGACCTCAGACAACTCACTTGCCATCTCTTAGCTTTTGTTTCTTCATCCATCAATGGGAATGCCACCATTTACCTCATAGGACCATTAAGTTGTTGCAGAGGGTAATTTTTCTATAAAAACTATCTACTTTTGTTATTCTTCAGTAAGGTATTTTAGATGTAATACATTTTCAGCTAAGTACTACTCCAAACATATACCTACTTTTACCAGAGGTCAACTCCAATGGCAAAGAATAACAAAATTACTCTCCTCTTTTTGGCCCAAATTAGTTGTTACTTTGTATAGGTAAATATGCATGTGGTTAACCCATGGCTGCAATCAACAGTCAGAAGTTATGCCTCTGGCTGACAAAGGAAAGCCAAGGACAGATTTCAACACTGAACATGATCTGAGTCCAAATTACACAAAACCAAAAGAACTATCATTTATGTTTTCCCTTAATACTTCTATCCAGACATTTCCCAGTAGTTTATGAAATTGATAGGTTGTCCCTATATTAAAGGCAAGGACCTATTATCTTCATGCTTAGAATGATTAAAATAACAGACTAATACAGTTAGTAATGTCTTCCTAGATTTCATATTTCTTCCCACCGATTCAATAAACACGGAGTTAGTTCCTTTAACAGAGGAAGTATGTAGTAGATCCTCTATAAATATTTGTTAAAGGAAAGAAGAGGAGAAAGAGAAAATGGGGAAAGGGAAAATAGAGAGAGGGATGAAGCAGACTTTGACAAGGAATGAGGAAAAAAGGTAAGATAAATACAATCCCGAGCCTAGAAGAGCTCAGCTTAAAGAATAAGAATTTAGGGGTGCCTGGGTGGCTCAGTCGGTTGGGCATCCGACTTCGGCTCAGGTCATGATCTCACCGTTTGTGTATTCCAGCCCCGCGTCAGGCTCTGTGCTGACACCTGGCTCAGAGCCTGGGTCCTGTTTTGGATTCTGTGTCTCCCTCTCTCTCTGACCCTCCCCTGCTCATGCTGTCTCCCTCTAAGAAATAAATAAAACATTTTAAAAACATTAAAGAATAAGAATTTAGAGGTGTCCAGGTGGCTCAGTCAGTTAAACATCCAACTTCAGCTCAAGTTATAATGTCATGGCTTATGAGTTCAAGAGCTGCATAGGGCCCTGCACTGACAGTGCAGAGGCTGCTTGGGATTCTATCTCCCCCTCTCGTTCTGCTCCCTCCTCCCCCCAAAATAAATACATTTTTTTCTAAAAATCTGGCCCTTAAAAAAAGAATAAGGATTTAAAGAGATTAAAATAATAAATATAATTAAAATTATTATAGGAACACAATGAAAGGACCCATTTCCCTTGTAGAAAAGAGTCACTGAAAGCTCCAAAGAGCAGGGGACACTAGCGGTGTCTTTCAGGATCTGTAATGCCACTGAAGAGTATAGAAGGAAGAGGTGAAAGAAAAAAGGAAAGTGGAAGTGAGTAATCCTGGTAAAGGGCAAAGAAAGAGAAAAGGTGATATTCAAAAAAGAGTGGTTGGTGCCAAACTGTGGAGTCTGAACTTGGAACCTGTAACCAACAGGGAATCTTGAAAGGATTTCAGCCAGAACAGCATGGTCAAATCAGTAGTTCAGGAAAGAAAGAAAGAAAAAGAAAGAGAAAGAAAGAAAGAAAGAAAGAAAGAAAGAAAGAAAGAAAGAAAGAAAGAACGAACGAACGAACACAAACAACTGAGGGCTGATGGGGGTGGAGGAGAGGGGAAGGGGGATGATGGGCATGGAGGAGGGCACTTGTGGGGATGAGCACTGGGTGTTATATGTAAACCAACTTGACAATAAACTATCTAAGAAAAAACAAATTAACAAAAAGACCTCTGGTAACAACATGAAGGATGAACATGTATAAAATTGGAGCTTGACACACCTGGGTGGTTGAGCATCCTACTCCTGATATTATCGGCTCAGGTCATGATCTCAAGGTTCGTGGGATTGAGTCCTGCATTGCACTCTGAGACAACAGCTTGGAGCTGGCCTGGGATTCTCTCTCTCCCCCCCTCTCTCTCTGCCCCTCCCACCTTCAAAATAAATATATAAACATTTTTTAAATTGCAGTTTTAAGTTTCAGGTTTCCTTTTTTTTTTTTTTTTAATGTTTTTATTTATTTCTGAGAGAGAGAGACAGCGTGAGCAGGGGAGGGTCAGAGAGGAGATACAATATCTGAAACAGGCTCCAGGCTCTGAGCTAGCTGTCAGCACAGAGCCCGACACAGGGCTCAAACCCATGAACCGTGAGATCATGACCTGAGCTGAAGGACGCTTAACCGACTGAGCCACCCAGGTGCCCCTCAGGTTTTCTTAATTATTGTTCAGGAAAAGTTAATATATTTGAACTTTTTGGTCTTATTGATAATTTAACAAAATAAGTAAAATAACTGCTTGTTTTCTTTAAATTCATATTTATAAGTTCAATTTTAATAGCATTTAAACCCTTGACCAATTTAAAAATAAAACCTTTTTTAACACCTGGCACCATAAGAAGTGAACTACTTTTGAATCATTACTGAAATTCACACAACATTCCGTGAGTCTTTTATATAAAACATATATAAGCTTATAATGAATTACATAGTCTCTCCCACAAGGAAAACCCAAAATGATTTAGAAACAGATAACCTAAATCAGAGTCAAATCACAAAGCATTACACTGGAAACACACTTAAAATATATTAGTACAAACATACAAGCACAATGTTTTTTAACTACAATATGAGCTAATAATAATGTATCTCATAGGAATGTAGGAAGGAATATGTACAAAGTAATATAAAACATCTTAAACCGTGTCTCCTAGCATGTCACTGACATTCAATAAATACTGGTTCTGTTCCCTTCTCTTCCTACGTCTTCAAGAAGATTAGTTATTTGTTTTTGTTTTTAATTTTTCTAACATTTATTTATTTTTGAGAGACAACGTTAAGACAGAGCATGAGTAGGGGAAAGGCAGAGAGAGAGGAAGACATTGAATCCTAAGCAGGCTCCAGGCTCTGAGTTGTCACCACAGAGTCCAATGCAGGGCCTGAACGCAAGAGTT